ACGCACCCACGCACCCACGCACCCACGCACGCACCCACACACACACACAAACACACACACACACATACACAAACACACACACACACACACACACACACATGTATACACCATATATGTATATATATGTGTGTGTATACACGTAGTTATATATGTACACACAGATTAATACATACATACATGCATACATGCATGCATACATACATACATACATAGTCACATAGTCACATACATATATATATATATACATATGCATGCACACATGCGTATATATATATACATACACATACGCTCATGTTTAATACTTGTACGTGTATGTATATATATATATATAAAGAGAGATTGCATACATGTACATGTACATATGCAGAACCAAATACATACACATTTTGCACATTCATAGATAGATATATGAATGAATCTATATGCAGATGTACAGACTTCATATGGTATATGGAACATTGAAGATTCTACATGGTGTGTGTTGTATTAAGTCAATGGGGGAAACATAAGCGGTCGCCAGTACGTAGGGGAAAGCATGTGGCCGTGCTTCTGAATTCGCCAGAATTGGGGGAAGGATTTTGGCCGTGCTTGTGAATCCCGCGGGTGTCTTTTGCGGGTCTCCTGATCTTCTCCTGGTCGTGGTGGTCGTCGTATGTCGTGGTGGTCCTGGTGGTCTTGGTGGTGGTCGTGGTGGTCGTCGCGGGGCTCTGTCACTGTTTGGGGATCTACGCTGGCATAACTAGTTCGAGGTTTTAGGGTTCAGTACTGTGGAGTCAGGGACTGACGAGGAGGCAGGCCACGGGGTTCGATCTTTCAACACAGGAGACCAAGAAGGCTTACCATCATGATTCGCCTAGAATGTACAACATGGCCTACAACATGAAATGCATCATCACCGTCACCGTCAGCGTCACAGACATGATGAGAGAATGTTAAGCCATGATAACATGGCTACACGAAGTCAGGCAAGGCTGGACTAAACAAGAAGTAAATTCGGAAGAAGAATCAACACGACGCCGGTAACACCAACCCCACCGCCACTCCCAGCCAATGCCTTGTCTGCACTTGGCGAGACGCTGGAAGGCAATCCATACGCTAGCATGTACACGTATGCATGCATACATGCATACGTCGTTGTAGGGCTCATTCTCGCATATCTGCCTCCACTGCTTGTCACACTTGCAGAAAAAAACACGGACACCTCAAGCTTGATAAGCCTGCCGTCAAGGTTCTGGAGGGGCTCGTCGCGCTCGCCTCCAACCGCAAGGCTCGATGCCGCACTCTGTACCATGGAGCCCTTACGGTGCTGCAAACCTGCAACATCTCTGTTGGGTGGCTGCTGCCGGGGCTCGTACTCTAGGGTTTGATCAAACTACCGGAGGGGGAGGCCTTGTTTAGCAGTGTTGGATCTGTGCAGAGAAAACTGGGGGGCGTCTTAAACTAGATTTGCAGGTGGTAAAGGCGGGTTGGCTTTGGGGAGCGAGCGACCCCCCCCGCGACCGGGTCGAAATACAGCCAAATGCGAGAAAATACGCGGTGGAAAACAGACCTGAACCACTATTGTGGGCTGACCCAAACGGGAGAAACTACAACTGGCTCGTGCGATGCCTTTATAAGTTTGGACATGCTCTGCAGAAAA